AAAAAATGTCGAAACACTCATCTCACTTAGATGATTATACGTCCATAATTATTTTGGAAAAATAATTTTGTTGACCCTACTAAATTTCCGTCTGAAGTTGTCCCATTACAAGCAAAAAAATCCAGCAATCCCCCACATGAATGAGAATTGATTCATGTGCTTGGAAATAACTCTGTAGTTGAAAGACTGAAAGAATAGGTAGGCCTTCTTGCCTTTGAACCTACTCTTACGGTGTACCTTTTTTACTTGCTGGTTACTAGAGCGTTATGTTCTTGAGCTGTACTGATGTTTGTGTAAACAACGATATGCCATACACATGTTTCAATCGACCATCGTTCTGTTTGCCCGTTTTGGTCATGGAACACGCGTCTCGTTCTGCGACAGTGTTAGACAGGATTAGCTCGAAATCCTTCTGTTGAAACAACTTCACTTCACTCTTACATATGCGATTCTTTAAAGAGTATCCTGATTACTCCACTTGGACCACATTGTCCATAGTTGTAGAATCATTAAAGCATATTAAATTTTCTACCCTCAACGTTTTTGGGAGTCACTGTATCTTGGTAGGAACAGAGGAGTTTTTAAGGTCAGTGGTCCGGCTCGCCCCCATAGTGACTATGCTTCGTTTCACAAGTAGGTTGTCCCATTGAACCTAGGTACCACCCAGGTTGAGTTTTTCTTCATAGAACGTTTCCAACATAGGCCATAAGGTAGGGCTTTTAGATTCATTCCTACCACTAACTTCTTATGTTGTTCGTTTGTTAACCCTTTGATTAATGGATTCGCTAAATTATCCTTTGACTTAACATAGTCAATTGAGATAATACCCGTATTGAGAAGTTGCTTAATGGTTTTGTATCTACGACGAATATGCTTTGACTTACCATTGTACATATTGCTCCGAGCTCGTCCTATAGCAGATTGGCGATCGCAATAGACGCATATTGGAGGAACTAGTTTATCCCATTTTGGAACATCCTCAAAAAAGTTTCGAAGCCATTTGACATGTTTTGCACACTTATCTAGTACTATAAACTCAGACTCCATAGTGGATATCGCAATTAACGTTTGTTCTGAGAATTTCCACGATACAATTACACTGGCTAACAATCTAACTTTAAAATATATCCACTCTTGGATTTTAAATCTTTATTATATGCAATCCAATTTGCATCGGTATAGCCTTCTAGTATAGGTGGATATCTACCATAGCACAAACAATACTTTCGAGTATACCAGAGGTATCTCATCACTCGAACTATGACCTTCTAGTGCTCAGTGTTTGGGTTGCTAGTATGCCTACTCAGTTTGCTAATTGCACAAGCTAAGTCTGGCTTATGAGGTACATTAAGCTTTCGATATCTCTCGCATATTCATTTTGTGAATCGCTATTCCCTCGTGATTTACCCAGGTGAACATTCACGTCTATGGGTGCTTTAGCCACTTTAATATCATCCTTGTTGAATTTTCCAAGAATTTTGTCAATGTAATGGGATTGACTCAAGCTCAGACTATCTGGTCTTATTATTTTGATTCCAAGAATCACATCAGCCATACCCAAATTTTTCATATCAAATTATGCGTTTAACATGTCCATAGTGGACTTTACCATCATGTTGTTACTTTCAATGATGAGTATGTCGTCTACATATAGACATAGAATGCGATATCCTTCAAGTGTGTCCTTAAAGTACCACACTTATCTGACTCATTGATCTCAAAATCAGTATTCATCATTACTGGGTCAAACTTATCAAGTCATTGTTTTGGCGCTTGTTTAAGATCGTATAATGATTTTACAAGTTCAGACCTTATTTGCCCCCTTATTTGCTTGGCTTAGAATCTTGAACCACTCAGGTTGTTCCATATATATGTCTTCATCTAACTCGCTATTTAGAAAAGCTATCTTTAGGTCCATTTGGTAAACATCCAAATTCTGTAAGGATGCGAATGTGATGATGATCCTGATAGAATCTATCATAGTCACATGCGCGTAAGTATCAAAGTAGTCATATCATATTCTAGGGTAATCCAAAACTAAGCAGAATCGCATTTATCATGCCCTTTAAAGTGTAATTTTTCCGCTCCGCCACACTGTCTGACTGTGGAGTATAATGACTGTGGAGTATAAGGTGGGGTTACTTGATGCACAATTTAGTGTTGTGCATAAAACTCTTTGAGCGGAGCATCATACTCTCCACCTCTATCGCTTCTCAATGCTTTAATTTTGCGATTAAGTTGATTTTTCACTTCATTTTTATGTTCAATGCCTCATCTTTGCGTTTTAGCAAATAGATATGACAATATTTTGTACTATCATTGACAAAAGTAATAAAGTACTTATTACATCCTCTTGAAGGCGTTGTTCAAATATCACACAACTCAGTGTGAACTAACTCTAGAGGTTGAGTATCTCGTTCAATCATTTGGAAAGAACATCGTGTTGACTTGGCCTCAACACAAGTTTCATACTTTTAAGGTTAAATCAATACTAAATTTAGGAATATGTTCCATGTTTATTACTTTTTGATGAGATGAATAATTAACATGTTCTAGTCTACCATGCCATAAACTAAAAGACTCACACACATAAGCAACATGATTTTTATTGATCTTTTCAGGACTAGTCATTACATTCAACTTTACAAGACATCAGAAATATATCCGTTTCTTATAAAAATCCATTTCATGGACAAGATTAACTTATCAGATTCAAACACCATTCAAAAATCGTGTTTGATTTGCATTGATCCTGACACTAGATTTGAATATCTGACACGTATAACACGTCATTTAGTGTTAGTTCTTTGCCAGAGGTCATGTTGGGGACTTGTCGTGAGGTCCAAAACAAATTAAAAATTTATAAAATAACCTTAGCTAACCCCCAAGATATAATCAAATAAAAACTATAGCTAGGGCAAGTAAGGGTCGATCCCACGGAGAAAGTTTGTACTTTTTAAAACCAATTTAGTATACAAACACGTTGTCACAAAATAAAATAAAAAAAAACAAACTACTACACAAATGATAATACTTATAAAACTTTTAATTAAATAAATATATAAACTTATAAATATAACTTATATAAACAAAGAACTTATAATATAACTTAGTAAAAAAAAACTTATATAAATATAAACAAAAAAAAGGGGGGGTTGAATAAAAAGTAAATATTTTTGGTTTTTATGTATTTTCTTATTTTTTTGGTTTTTTGATAAAATGGGGGAAATAAGCTCAAAAGATATTACTTCTCCAATAAAGGTAACCCAAGAAACACCGCCAAGAACCCGAGACAAAATGAAAAAAGAGAACAAACATGAGTTGAACATTACACGTATAATAGGCACGTAGACAATATATTACGTAACTTACGCACTTAAGAATAGGAAAAACAATCAAAGGCCGAGTCGATTCATTTCCTTAACCACGATATGGAGGATTGTCAACTCTCCACACGGCCCGGAGTCATGCAATTCAAAGGCCCATTTTGAAATATACCTTAGAACCCCAACTCACCAATCAAGCATGAAAACATACTTCCACTATAGAAAAAGTTTATAAAAGAGCGAATTTTTTTTCATTCTAACTCTCATGCATAATCTATTCACAAACCGCCAATACCTTATG